GGAATGCCAAAGCGATTGATTTGAGGCATGTGCAGGTGGCATCAGGAATACTCACAATTGGCGAAGCGGCCTGGCAGCATTGTAACAGGCTGCTTATCGTTCAGCTGCCTAGTACGGTGGTCTGCCTGCAAGATGGAGCCTTCCGCCGGAATTACGTACTCCACACCGTTGAAGCCCCAGGGCGCAAATACTTTGGGCTCTGGGTGTTCGAAGAATGCTACGCCTCAGCCCTGATTGGAGATCAACGCGCGACAGTCAATCAGCTAGCACCACAGGCGCGATTTAGACCGCGTGCTTTTGAGAAATGCAGTGCCCTCCAGCAGCTCAATTTCGAAAGAGCAGAGTATGATCCTGCCGATTTGAATCGCGACATACCCGAGGGTTGCTTTTTCGAGGTAGATCGAAAGTCGCAGTGTCGGGCGTGTGAGGTGTCGACATGGCATGATACTCCCTGGTTGCGGGTGGTTCCGTATAAGGGTGACAAGGTGAAGATTCCCATTGAAGATGTTTCAGACCCTTTCCTTTTGAGGGTTCACTGAATGTTCTTACGGGTGATGAGATGACGGCGCATAGGTTGCGGGGGCACGTTCCGTACGAGCCGTCGTGCGATGTGTGTCAGAGTTGTAAGGGCATGGTGAGACACTCTAGGAAGGGGACTGACAAAGGTTTGGTCACTGAGATTCACGCTGACTTCTGTTTTGTGAACCAATATTTTGAATAGAGTTCGGGTGGACAAGACGGACAAGAACCTGAAGGGTTGACGAAAATTTTGGTTCTCAAAGAGACGTTTAGTTCAGCTGTTGGGGCTGTTGTGATGACAGGGGACCGGACCTATGACCAGGCTGCTAGTGAAGTGGCTGGACGAATTCGGACTGAGATCGGCAGAAGGGGAATTATCGGTGAATCTGATCACTGATGCTGAGAAGTCGGTAGCTAATTTCATCTCCGGATCATCTAGATACACGTTTGCAGTGAAGAGGGCGGCTCCACACTCGCATGAGAGTGCAGGGCACGCTGAGCGTGCAGTCAGAACCATCAAAGAAGGTCTTAAGACACTTTGGTTGGAATGCCAGAACTTTGGGTTGGCCGTCATCTTCAGCAAGGAGAACCTTCAGCGCCAGTTGAATTGGGTGTGCTTCTCGCGCAACAACTTTGCTTTGAGCCAAGGATCAAAACACGGACCACGAGCACTTGCAGTTGGCAAGAAAGTCACTCCAGACTCTTTCACATTGTTTGGAGCAAAGGTCTTGGCAGAGCTTTCACAGTCGGTGATCAAAGAGAGTCCCAATGCTCCAAGATTTGCTGTTGCAGGTTTCCTGCATCCAGATTTTGGATCAATGGGCAGTGTTGTGATCGCTAATATCCGGGTAGGTCAGGAAATGGTGCGACGGAAGTTCACCGTGAAGGCCATCAAGATCTGTCTTCCGATTGAACTGTTGAACGAATTTGGCCTGTTTGTGTCATTGGTTGACGAGAAGTCGGGTTTGCCGATTCAAAGGGGAGCACAGAACCCGGATCTTCGATCGCATTGCCGAAGGAGCAGTCAGTGCAGTTGAACTGTCCAGCAACTGGACCACCGGTTTCATGGTTGGAAGACTATGGTTACTCTCGGAATTGCACCGCGTGTTCTCACATTGAGCTGTATGGGACGCGAGCTAATAAGGAACACTCCCAGGTTTGTAAGACTAGATACGAAACTTGGATCAAACAGCACGCTTCGGCTGAACTTCGGATGCCTTCGATTCGAGAGTCTCGGGGTGTTCGAGGGTCGGACGAGTTGCACGGGGCTCATGATGAGGGTTCCGGGGCTTTTCATGTGGGTGACTTGGATATGTATTCCCCCACGGAGGTTGGTGTTCAGGAGGATCCACCGGTTGTGAGAGATGAGGGTGTTGAGGACGAGACCATGAGGGTTGAGGGTGAGAGGGTTGAGAGTGGTGAGAACCCCCCCAAGGAATCCCTTGGTTTTGAGAAGACTCCTGGTTGTCCTAGTTGTGAGACGGGAATGGATGCCCCGGGGATTAGGCGTTCAAAGAAGTGTAAACGAAAACGTGAAGTTTTGTTTCATGATGATGAAGAGAGGGAAACGAAGCGAGAAACGCTTCCACCAGAGAGTGAACAGGCGAACAGTGAAAACGTGAGAGGTGAGAAGCGTGTCGCGGACGTGTCGGTTGAGTCGCTCGAAAAGGAGATCAAGTATGAAGAAACATATAAAGAGAGTTTGCTTGGCATCACAGCCAGCATTGTGTCAGGCCAAGGCCTGTCTGCTGAGATCTCCTTCCAAAGACCGTTGGTTGTTGGCGGCGTGTGCGTTCTTGCTCACTGACATGTTGGATGCGCCTTCGATGTCGTTGGAGTTGCAAGTCGGGTCGGTGCAGTTTGACAGCCACGCAACCAACACTGTCGTGAGTTACGGAAAGCATCGCATTCGTGTTTGGCAGCCTTCATCAGCGATTGATGATTCAACCATGAAAGAACTTCCTGGAGATGCTACCCTAGAGGGTATGGTGAAAGAGGTGGCGAACTTGGCAGAGATGGGAGCTGGAGACTTGTTGACAGCAAGTGAGTTTGCTGTTTCGGAGCAGGCGTCTTCGTGTCGTGTGAATCCGCGCCGTTGGGTAACCAACGAGAAGGGTTCAGGGGTTAGAGCCCGCATTGTCCTTAAGGATATTGCAAAGAACTCGGTCTCGGCTCGCTCGATCGGAATTTCCTCACCAACTCCGTCGTCGGACGCGTTGTTTTGGGTTTTGGGGATAGCCGGGGTTCGTAACTGGATTTTGGCAGCTGGTGATGTTGCATCAGCTTTCATGGCAACGCCTCTTCGGAAACGGAACGTCGTAGCAAAACTACCTTTGTCGGTTAGCAGTCTTACAGGAGAACAGCTGTATTTGTGGTTGGCAAAGGCTCTCAATGGCCTTAGGGCAGCTTCACAAGAATGGATGGTCTACCCCAGTTCAATTGTTGAATCTCTGGGTCTTAGTGCGTGTGAGCCCGAACCTTGTTTGTTTTCGGGATGCTTGCCTAGCGGAAACCCATGTTTGATCCTCAGCTATGTGGACGACTTGATCGTCTGCACACCCAAGGCCGAGGATGTAGACTTTGTGTTTGAGACCATTGGAAAGAAGGTCCGCCTGAAAAGGACTGGGTTCATTGCATCTGATGGCCAGGGAGGACAGTTGAAGTTTTTGGGTAGAGTGATCACCCGGAGAAAGGGGGAGAAGAGTGTTCTTGTTTCCTTGCCTGAGGGTTATCTTGATGACACGTTCAGAGATTACAAGTTGCAGTCATCTTCAAAGACTAGAGCACCTCCAGATATCACACCAGTGATTGATAAAGAAGGTGTCGAAGGTGCTTGATGGACCTCACTTGGTTGCCTTCAGTGACGCCAGCCATGCACCATTGAAGAGCACAGGACGTCGTGGCATCAGCGGGGGAGTGATTTCATATGGTGGAGCTTTGATTAAGACATTGAGTAGACATCAGACTCTTGTTTCGCTTTTGTCGATGGAAGCCGAATTGTTCGCCCTTCAATCCGTTGCACAAGAGTTGTCATCCATGAGAAAGATTGTAGCTGCTAGGATCTTAGGAAGTTTCAAAGAAATTGACGCAGGACAAGCAATTCCAGGTGTGTGGTATTCAGATAGCGAAAGTGCTCTCAAGTTGCTTCGCTTTGGAGTTGCCCCGGGAGTCTCGTCACCTCGAGATCAGAATCTCATGGATCAAAGAAAGGGTTGAACGAAAGCACCTTGTGTTGGAATTCAAGAAAGGAGTGAGCAATCCATCAGATCTTTTGATGAAGTGTTTGGGAAGTGCTGCTTTCGGTTTGCATCGTTCGAGTATCGGATTCGAGATCATGGACTTTCCACTTGCAGGACTTATGGATCTTGCGCGAGGGTATGTGTTTGTTGAAGTGTGTTGCAAACAGGATTCAGCTGTCTCTCGAGCATGTAAGAAACATGGTTTGGTGTATGTTGGGATCACCCATGATATGGAGAAACCCCAGGTGTTTCAAGGGTTGGTGAAAACGCTCAAAGGGTTGGAACCATGCAAAGTGTTTGTTCATGTGTCTTCTCCATGTTCATCAGGGTCACCATTGAAGAATCTCACTAGAGATGACACGATTTCTAGTTCGGATGTCATGTGGTTCGATATGTTCCCGCATGTGAAGAAGTACCTTAAGTTGGGACACCATTCGTCGTTCGAACTGCTGTGGAGAAACGCAATTTGGAACCATGTCATGACGCAGAGAACGTTGGAAGCAGCAAAGCATTGCTTTGATGTTGCGGTGCACTTGTGTGCCACTGGAGCTCGAGCAAAGAATGGAGAGCCGATTGGAAAGGTGTTGGGAATTACTACAACCAGCAGCCTGTTGAGGATGAAGTTGAATAAGGAGTCTGGCATGTGTCGGTGCCAGACCTCCCATGCAGGGTTCCATTCTGTGAATTGGACTTAAACAGCCTTTTACAACGATCGGTTCGGGGAGAGCTTGGTTCGCGGTGCCTTGCAAGCTTTGAGACAAGAGGCGCAGTGATTTTGGAAAGAGTAGGTTTCAGAGAAACGTGGAACGTTGCAGTCTGAAAGCACTGAAAGTCACTTGCAGTTTGTTTTCTTTCTTGCTTTCGTTGAAAGCAGAGAGAGAGAGAAAGAGAGTTTTGCAGTCTTTGGAACAGCGTGAAACGAAACTTCAAAGACAAGGTTTTTCATAGATAGCTGTATATGATATATACATAGATAGATACTTGAATGCAGTCATGCGCGTGCACACGCGTAATAGAACGCAAGGATTCGCTTGCAGGTTCATCCTTTTAAAAGGAGGGATGTGCAGGTGGAGGTTGTTTGCTTGCACTCTGAGAGTGTGAGGTGAGCGTCCTTCCGTGTGGACTGTGCTTGTGCTGAACCCGAACGGGTTTGCGTTGGACTTTTGGCCTGACTAGCGCCTCGTGCACTTGTTGGGTAGGTAACTTCAGTTGCACCTTAGGAGCCTAGACTGTGTGTGAGCCATGGCTTCTGAGAAGATGTCAGAGTCGGAAATGGCAAAGTTGTCAGAGCCTCTGGCAAAAGCAAAGCGTTCTGGATATGCTCCTGAGGAGCTGCTGCAGGGACCTATGCCATCTGGAAAGGTGGAACGCAGTCAGGGTTCTATGTCAGATTCTTCCAAGCGCCGCTTGGTTGCTCCGGAGGAATTCGAGATTCTTGAACCACCATTTGTGAGTGAAGCTGGGCACTCGACACTTGTGAAAGAATCAGAGATTGTGGATTTCGGAAAGGGAGATGTGAATGTCAAGATCCCTGTCCCAAGAGAGGTGAAGGATGGTCGTCAATGGGGTCGCACTTTGATGCAGTTGCCGGCTCTGAAGAGTCGCAATTTGAGCTATGAGGAGATCTTTGACCTTGTGGTTGAGAGGATGCCGACATTACCAAGTACTGTCGATGGGTCATGGAGACTCATGGAAAGACAGTGACCGATGCTCCGAGGACTCGTGCTGAGCATTTTGCAATGTACCTGAGGTACCGCAAGGCCGATGAGATCATGGGCTGGCAAGTTGCAGCGAAAGTGCAAGTCGTGAATACGACATGTGAGAATGGTGCAGTGGCCTCAAAGACACACACGATTTGTTGCAGTCTGCGGCTGGATTTGATTTCAAGCACGTCTGTAGCACACGTTTTCAAAGCGCAACGAATAGCAGTCTTCGACGGGTTCTCCAAAGAATTCGACTTTTGTGGCATAGCAGCTATGAGTTGCAGTCTGTAACTGGTTCTTCATTGCACAACAAGGTTGCAGTCTGAAACACAGGTTTTTTTCAAGGAATTTGTGAAGGTGAACTTCCGTGTTTGAACCTTTGAAGTGAAGTTCATTGGAAAGCTGCAGGATCACGCCGAAAGGGGGTGTGAAAGTATGGGTACAGAACGTCGTGACCTTGGCTTTGGCTTTGGATGGTGCCTGCCTTTCCAACCTTCTGGTGCTAGCAGCCGCTAGCATTTGTGGATAGCTTTGGATGCACCCAATATGACCAGTGGACGCTGGCTATGAGTGGAGAACGAAGCTTGGACAGCTCCGAGTGTGACCAATGTGTGTACCATTCGAGCTTTGGAAGCTTCATGTGGAACCAACTAGAGCGAGAGATGAGTGAGGATTTGTTTCCACCAAATATCGCTGACATTCGTCAGCGTGGAGCAGAGAACCACCATGCACCATCACAGGTGCTAGCGGAGTGAGAATTAGATCCCATCTGGATTGGGAATACACACGATAGAGGGTCTGTGTATAGATATGTATAGTATCCAATAGATCCGTGTGTGCACGTTTTTGGATAGAAACGATGTATATGTGTGTTGCTAGAACTCTCCTAGATCGGAAGGAACATCCTAGATGTTGCCTCCCCCTGATGATGACGTCAGGGTGCACACACACAGAGATCTGACTCTGATGTTGAAAGTGTGCACCCGTCTGAAGGGGGGGGGCAGCATCCAGTATGTTGCTTCCTGCCTCTAGGTTGTGAAGATAGAAAGAGAGGAAAGGTGGGTGATACCACCTCTACCACCTAAAAGTGTTTAAGCACTCACTACGTTCGAAGGAACGTGGCTCAAGTGTGAATAGCTAGAAGCAGTACAGTGCAAAGCAAGCTAAAGGCACAAACTAGCAACACGTACTTTTGTGTTCGTGTGCGTTGGCGCGAAAAGGTTGCTTGTCCGGTGCGGATCCGGTAAGGGTAAGGCTCGCTACTTTTCACATGACACGTCCATAAGCAATCACTTGCAAAAGCTTCCCCCAATGGCAGCGAATTTGAGACGCGACGACGAGGACAAACGACGACAGACGACTCCAACCCCCAGACCCCCAACTCTAAACGGGAACCCTTCGCTGCGCATTCGGGAAAAATATTTCAGTTTTAAAAGATCAAACTTGACGAATTAACTATTCAACGATTTTTTTTTGGCTATCTATTTTGGTGCATTTTTATTTCGTGACCGTGGCTTGCTGGCAATTGCTGGAGGCCCTTTTTTGCACGAGTTCGGACGCCATGTGTGCGGTGTGCGCAGGTCATCATGAGAAGGATGGAGACTCTGCAAATTGGTAAGGGGAGCAAAGCCAAACGAGAACCAGCACAACAACAACAGCCAAACAAAAAACGCCCCCCCAAAACCAGCCCCAAAACCCCTTAACCAATGTGAGCAGAGTTTCGCACTGTACTAAAGTGAGACCGGTGAGACATGAAAGATCATTCAACCACCTAATCGGGCCTGAATTCACGAAACTTGCCTTTACAATGTGATGGGACATTGGGCTGTTGCCCTTGAAGGCCAATCACCAGTGGCTCAGGGGCGGACAAGGGACAAGTCAGCCCTTGCCAGGTTAGGTTGCAAGCACTTCAGCCACATTCGAATGCCACGACAGTTTCAGCTGGTGCGGACTGTTTGCAGCAATTCAGGTCTGTTAAGATCTTTCACGATCATTGGCAGTTGCAATGCCATTCTGGCCTTGGAAAACAGCCTGCCTAGGGCACAGCTTTCACACACAGCTGCACAAACTGTGGCCGGTTCACGGGCAATGGGGTGGTGGACATTGCAAACAAGGCAGCTGCAGGCAACGTGCAACCTCCCTCATTGGGGGACCCCCTCCCACTGAACTTAGGCAATGCGAGAAAGTGTGCAAAAGTGTTGCGCCTGCCACGCAATCTGCACATGGAGGTTCGCAAAGTGCTGTGCCTCCCACGAAATTTGCACTCCATCCGATTCTGCTTACTTGCACACCCCCCAAGCTTCCGCTGCTGCCTGCCGTGGAGCCTTTTGGGAGGGTGTGGGTTGCCTCCCCCGGATGAGGGAGGTTTGTAGGTTGCCTGCAGCAACGCACATTGCAATGTCCGCCATCCCATTTGCCCGCCACCGGCCACAGTCGCCTCTGCTTGAGAGCCGTGTGTAAGAGCTGTGCACTCAGGAAGGCTGTTTTCCAAGGCCTGTGGAGGCCAGCGACTGCTGTCGAGGCGATTGACATTGCCCTGTGGCATGAGGGTGGGCATGTTTGCGAGCAATCGGTACCCATTGCATTTGTTGAAAGTTATGGCCACCAATGGAGGCATCAGTGATTCTCCGATCACGTCCTTCTCGACATTAGAAATTGGCCACGAGATCCTGGTATGAACACAGAAAGCGTAAAGCTGACATGGCTCTCCCTAAACCTAGAAGATAAAAGGTACGACAACATTCACACATGCTCTGGTGGCATGCGAGATTGCCTGGCACAGTTCATAAAGGCCTTCACCCGGATTGTGTGCACTGAACATGGCAGTCGGCTTCTCGAAGTCTGACGCTATGCACAAAGGCTCCTGCATTTCCTTTATGCTGGAGTTCGAAAGGTCCACCTGAGTGAGCAGTTTGCAGTTATCACAGGCATGGGCTCCTGGCACTTGGAAATCTCCAGTCAATTCTGGTGCCTTAATCTTCGTGGAGCAAAGACATCCTGGCGGCAGTTCCCTAGTCTCCTCCTGATTCTGCAGTTCTGGGTTGCGGCCGTCCTCTAGAGGACGAAGGCCAAAATTGATGCAGTCTACAAAAGATAGTGTCCAAATTTGGTTGCGCCCCTCCTCCATTGGCGTGGATCCACTGCAGTGAGCAGTAATCCGCAAGCGCTTTGCAGCCAAACTCAATGCAGCCTGGTACAGTGATGCTGTTGAGCAAGTGGCACCCTCGAAATGTTCTTCAATACGCGCCACTGAGCCTTGGCTTGTGGCCGGTGATTGGCACGCGTCGGTGGAGCATAGACGATTGGCACCCAGGTGAGAACGTTTGTTTCTCGCCAGGAGGGAGTCTGCACTCAGCCAATCGTGTGCAAAGTGGGTACAAAGTACCATGCTAGGAAATATTTTTGTTTCACCACGTTTCACCAGGGCCATGCATGAATGAGGATAGTGACCCAAAGATGCCTGGTCTATGCTTCCGATTTTGCATACTCGCCACCTCCCAAGCTCCCGCAGCTTCCTGCCATGGAGCCTTTTGGGAGGGTGTGGGTTGCCTCCCCCGGATGAGAGAGGTTTGCAGGTTGCCTGCAGCAACGCATGTTGCAATGTCCACCATCCTCTTTTGCCCACCACCGGCCACAGCCGCCTCTGTTCGTGCAGCCGTGTGATGGCAATGATCGAAAAAAGATCATGACGGATCTGAACAGATCTAAATTGCTGCAATCTGTTCGCACCAGCTGCAACTGCCGTGCGTTCGATTGTGGCTGGTGTGCTTGCAACCGAACCTGGCAAGGGCTGTCTTGTCTCTTGTCCTTTCTTGACGGCCACTGGTGATTAGCCTTCAAGAGTTGACCCATTGCATCTTATGGCAAACTTCGTGAATTCAGGGCCCGACTAGTTGGTACAACGATCTTTTCATGTCTTGGTGTCTGTTTTGGGGGTGGTTTTTGGTTTTGGTTTGCTTGTTTTTGTTGCGCTGGTGCCGTTTTTGGTTTTGCTCCCCCCTATGCAGAGTCGCCATCCTTCAAATGATGACCTGTGCACACCGCACACATGGCGTCCGTACTCGTGCAAAAAAAATACTGGGCATTCTGACCACACGGAGATGGCGACAGCATTGCCAAGCTTGGGCTCCTACTGCACGTATGCCTGCCTCGATACTTACATGGCGCATGCGCGGAACAGCTAGAAAGGCACTGGAGGGGATGATCCCCGCCTGGTTCATTGGAACTTTGACTGCTTGTGGGATGTCTCGATATGGACAGCCAACTCCTTGTGTTCACCATGTGAGCGTGCAAGAGAAGGCCTCCTACCTGACATTAATGAGATTTGGAGTGCACCGGATTCATCTAGAGAGCCTGCTTAAGGATCCAGGGAAATGTGGTTTGCCGTAAGGTCTGCTACCCACGTTTTTCGCGCATCTGTCCATGTAAAAACGTTTCAGGCTGCTTTAAAGCTGTGTCCTTGCACTTTGAGCCACCAGGACCCGAACAGTATATGCAGATACTGAGGCCATCGTGTCCTCATAATTCAGAGCAGAGTCAGAAAGCAAAGAAGGTAACGAGACAAACTGTGAAATTTCTATTTTAGGGGAGAAACAGCGCAAGGCAACAAAAAGGCACAACAAAAAGCACAAACACCACCCCTAAAAGCACACTCCTTTTTGATGTGTTTACTTTGTTTGCGCTCTGCAAAGCTGTGCAAAGGCACTGGATTGCTAAGTTTCAATACGCATCCAGAGATGGGCGCAAACACTACATCGAATGAAGAACCAGAGAACAGTGATTGTGAAACAGAAGAAACAAAACCAACAGGTACAGTATTTGTGGAGCAATGAAAAAACTTGACGTGAACTTCAGAGAAAATCGTCGGAAAAAATGAGATTGATTTTGAAACGATTCGCATGGTGTTGCATGCAGCAACCAGAAATGCATCACCATCATCTTCAGACTGATGTTGTGATGTCGATTGGACGAAC